AGAAAAATTTTAGGCTGAATCGAGTTAAACTTGTGGCAACACTGTGTTCACATATCGTCTCATCAAAACAGATTTCATTGTTTGAAAGTCTATATACGAAAGTACATACACCACAGTTTTTTAAAAAGAATTTTATTTAGATTGGAATTCAAACTTATTAGCACTTCAATTGATAAAAAAAACTGTTTGCGATTCTTTCCATCGTAATATAACGGAGAAGTTTTCAAATGATCTAATATTTAGACCACTCATGATAATTGACAATAACGATAAAAAATTGTTTGTTTCAATATATTGTTTGGATCTTGCCATTGGGTTCTAGTACTGGTCACTTGGCATTGAGCTAATAATAGCTCGGCAATAATCTGATGATGTTCGCTTCTAATGATTTGAAGAGTTTGAAGATTATTCGTATAAACACGAATCTGCTTCACAAAAAAAAAAGAAGAATCCAGTGGTGACAAACAGCATAATCTTGATAGATAAACATGAGCACATTACCAAAATGTGAAATTATTATACATTCGAAAATATTAGAATGTAATATTCTATGCATTACAAAATCCATGATACATTGGAAGGTAGTTTTTTTTGACCAATGTTTCTAAAACAGTGCTTGTAGAGCAGGAGCTGGAAATGGATAACTCTTTATACTTTCTTATACTTTTTTTTTTTGATATTCAGATGTCTGAGTTGGTGAATCAGCACCTTTATTCTATTTTATCTGTGGACAGTTTCAAGTCACACTAAGAATAACTGAATACGGGGTTTTATAATATGATGGATCTGATGTCTTTGCCTGTGTTTATGAAATTTCGCTGTATTTTTAGGATGCTAAGTGTTGGATTATTGTGACTGTCAATTATATTGAACAGTTTCAGAGCACGATCTTTAATGTATTTTTCGACTGAATCGACTCTCAGATCTCTGTGGATATCCGCTCCTCTTACGTACAATATATTAAGTAAAGAGCAGAATTAGTTTACATAGTTTTATCCGATTTATGTTTACAATCTATTTTAGGCGACAAATTCGACATATGGGTAGCAAATTCCAGAAATTGAATTATATTCCTTCGTTTATCTTGTTTTTCCGGTAAAAATACTGGATAATCATTTTGACATTCAGGACGTTTGATATTTCTTAATTTCTTATTTGTCCTGAAGTTCAGAATCATTTTATATTTTTTGCTTAATGATACAAAAGATCCATTGAAATATTTCATTAGTAAAAGTTTGAAGATTACTGGTAATTTTTAACCAGTTATTCACGAAACTAAGTAGTTAAAAAAGTGGCCATTTACAATAACTAATGAGTTGAGGAGTAGGTACCAATAAGAGCAATACAAACGCTATAATAAAGAGTTAAGGATCCTGTTCGCCGAATTATTAAATAATGTTTCAATATCTTTGTCCGAAAGAGTAGAGTACTACATCTAGAACTTGACTAGATGACATAATATATATTTATATATATATATTTAGTTCACCTATAAGACCATTTGTACTTAAGGAGGAAATTTAATGCGAACACAAAATTTAAGGTTAATTATATTCTTGTAACCTAAATCGTTTGGAACTCAAACACGCATCATCGTTGACGATTTTATTGTTTCCAGAGTGGATGTTCATAGACATAAACATATTTACCAAAAGGTTTAAAGAGCGCTGTTGCTCTATTCTTACTAAAAACTTACCACGTCTTTTGATACTTGCATTAAATTTATTGAAGTTACTCCTAATATATGAAAAATAATATTTTGACCTTCATATTAATACAGAGGGGATAAAAAATATAAGCTATTAGAGTTGGTTGATATAATCTTATTCATATATTCGCAGTTTATACTGCCGATGTTGTAATACAGCCATATCATAAATTGCGAGTACGAAACTGACTTCTGTCAAACTTAACTGAATTTGACGTCTTCTGCATCATAAGTTTAAGTTTTATGTTTCTGAAATAAGTTAAGTAATATGTTCTGTTTTTTGTACATCGCGCAAGGAATACACATTTTCGGCTTATAAATTTCGCGTCTGTTTACCGCCTGCTCTAAAGTAAACCCACGTTGAATGCGAAGGCATCTTAAAGAATTCACTTTCTTTCATGTCACCCTAAGCCAAATAGAGAGAAACAAATATCGAACGAAAATCATCATCGGACAATGGGCTAGGTACGGGAGTTGGCGTTGGGACGCATCATGTGTCAAGTTTGTTCACGTCATGTATCCCGCTTTTATATACAATATTTTCATTGTTCAGAGGTACGAACTGTATCTATGTGAATATCTTCACAAAATACTTATACAAATAGATACGCACATATATGTGAATAAGTATATATGGATAGTCATGTTTTTTGTTTATACATTTTTGCGAAAGCAATTTGGACATGTACGCGTAATTTCGTTTCTTGAAACGCTGATACTTTTTTCCTTTTCCTCTGGCACAACTCCTGGCTCTGCTTCGGTAGCTTCATTTTCCATTTGCCATTTTTTTCTCATTTTTTTCTGAAATTCTGTCTTGTATTTTTTGCCGTTGTCATGGTCATCCTTTGGGGTTTTGACCCTAAACTCCACCAGTTTTTTATTTATAATCTTTATAAATGCGTATATGTATGTGTCATATGGACCTCCACATATACATTTACACATGAATACACATGCATGTACATATATAAACAAAATCTGTTATTTTTTGGCAAATATTGTTTACATCTATGAAAAGCACAAACTCAGAAAAAGGAACATTTTTCGTTTCATTATTCGGTTCTTACCAGTTTTGTTTTTGACCCAATCTTAGAAGTATTTCGGCGGCTACTTTATATGCGTATATAGTATATATGTACTTTTCTTAATAAATATAAACATAAAATAAATTAATTTTTAAATAAAAATTTTCTCAAGTGTCGCTGATAAACACAAAGTTCAGCAGATCGCAAAAATTTTTAATTTTTATAGATTGTTTCAATATTTTCTATCATTTTAAGAAAGTAAATATCCATACATCGCGCTATATTCCAACTGTTCAATATTGGGTGGTCAAAACTAACATTTGAAGACAAAGCTTCAAAGCCAATGGAAAAATAGAATACATTATCGTCATATTAAGAAGAAGAACACGATACAGAAATGAATGGAAGCAATTTTGGAAGACTCACGCATCCCGGATACGTCAGTAAAGGGACTTGATATGAAAGAAGTAGAAGGTGTACATACAAATATATTGTAAAAGAAACGTTTTAACTAAACGTTTTCAATAAATAAATGTTTGTTTTTAGAACTATTTTGATAACTGCGATCTAACTTAGATGTTATGACTTAAAGAAAGCTGGATTAACGGCTTTATATCAATACTTTAGTATACTGTGGTTACTATTTTTAATATTTAATAATAATATTATATAATGTAATGTAAATATATTGATATGAAATATTTATATAAACATGTGTATATATATATACGTATCTGAATGATTTACTATTATAATTAGCATATAGATATTATTAATAAATTTTTTTGGCAATAGTGTTATATAGTTAGTGTCACTACAGGTCATTTGAGTTCCATAACACGATGTTAAAGTCACCAAAATTGTGTCATAATTTAATGATGAACTATGTTATATATTATACTTGTTATACAAATACAATATGTAAGACATAAATATTGTAGATAAAATAATTCTTCAAAAGATGTATAATATATTGCGTCACGATAATACCGCATTACTTGCTTTGGTAATGAAACAGAAAAATTGCAAAGTTATGTTAGAAATTACTGGTGGATTCAATATATTTGATAGATTGACTATATTCCGATTATAAAATTTTCTTGTCAAATTCACTTGAAAAATTTCTTTAAAAGAAAATCTATTAAAATCGGAACAAATGTTAGAAGCCCTAACATTTGATATTTGTTATGAAGTAATAGTGGATAATTATTACGAACAAAAGCGTAGCTGACGAAGATGTCCATAATCGTATTTTCAAAGCGTGGTTAGTTTTCAATCAACTGTCCAAGATATGGACTCTCTGCCAAATTTCTTTAAAAAAAAGCTTCGCGTGTTTAACTCAAATGTCAAATCAGTATTTTTCTATGCATGCAAGACAGAGAAAATTTTAAAGAAAGCAAACTAAGCTGCAAGTGTTTCTCAACAAGTCTCTCCATCAAGTTCTTTAAATCCGTTGGTCAAAAAGAATATCGAAAACCGAATCATGGGGGAGAATAAATCAATCTCAAGTTACAACGGAGATAAAAAAACGTGAATGGTTCTGGAAGGGACATACACTTCGATGACCCACAAATAATATAGTAAAGCAAGTACTGCGATGGAACCCTTAAGGTAGTCGACGATCCGGTGCACCACCAAGAATATAGCGAAGAACAATTGAAAAAGAATTAAAAGATATCGTATTTACTTAGAATGATGTCACAAGAACAACTTCTAATAGAACACGATTTAAATCAATGGTGGAAGTTCTATCTCCAGAAGGAGTTCAGGAAATTAGTAGTAATGGTGGGTAATTAATTATTAAAGGTATGGGAAATGTATTAGTTTTTAAATAATACATTAAAGTTCACTGAATTTTCTAAGAACTTTAATAAATTGTATTTCGAACTATTTTTAAAATAATTTGAATGAAAATAGTAAGTTATTGTAAATAATTTTCAATCATGAAAAGCAAACCAATATTTAAGGATTTATACATAGTTTGCAGTGTCCTATAGAAAGGACACTTGCTGATATAGCTATTATGAAGTGTTCTGATAACAAACATTAATTATAGTTATTTAGGTATGAAAAAATATTTAATCATTTTATTATAACAATTTCATTAAGACCTAATTTAGATTTTTAGCAATTGTCTCATTATTTCTTTAGCAATAGACCCCATAATAGTCTTAGATAATTGTTAGAATCATTAACAATTATAAGGGAGATAAATGTTATCTTCTACTCGTAAGCATGTTCCTACTGAAATAAATAATCAGAGTTCCTTAAATTGGTTTAGAAATATATTTTGATAATAATAATTAACCATTTACAAAATAAATAAGGAATTATTTTAGAATCCTTTCAATTGTATGCGACTAAGTACTTCAGGAGTTAGTTTCAAACGAGGATCTTTGAACAAGGACGCTCTGACTTCCTCATATTTCTTTTGCGCTTCTTCGTGAGTCAGGGTTAAACGTTGTTGTATCATACGCTTGTTAAGTTCAAGACTATTGCCTTCATTTACAAGTCTCTCATAGTCATAATTACTGAATTGATCCTGAAATTTACTGAGGAAGCGTTGCAATGCTTTTGCTTCTGCCGTCAACTAATAAAAATATAAATACATTTTTTTTAATTATTACGAATATACTTTATCGGATTCAATACAAAAGCCTTACTTCTTCATATTGTCGTTGCAGACAATTAAGCAATGTAACGAACCGAGTCCTTAAATCAAGCAAGCAGGACGTAAAGGCCACATAAGATTCTTTTGGAGTTATTTCATTATCGTATGCAACCAAATAAGGCGCCAAGAAATCTGGTGGATTGCTTTCAACTTTTAGTCTATAAGCTTCTTCATCTTCATACTGTAAATGAATAAATATAAATAAGTGTAAGTGTAAAACTGCACATCAAATAATAAAATTAAATGTAGATTATGAGTAGACTGCACACGTATACGCAAGGATTATTGACTTTGCTTAGCAAATAATTATTTTCTTAAGTATTTTAAGCATTCGTGACAATAGGAGCATTTGGCACTTGGAACTTGGCTCTCGACGTATAAAGGCAACACAAGTGGACAGACACAAATGCTAAGTTATGATTAGTAGTTTGCACACTCCAACCTAGTAAATAATTATTATAATTGCATTTACTTATACTCGTATACATAGGCAGTTTATATACTCATAGACATTTGTATAATTGGTGAATCACGAATTATGAAGGATGCATGTGAACACACTATTTCGAATTCGTTAAATACATAATACGAGTCTACTATCTGTGTCATGTGGACAATAAGTGAAGTTCATTTACTTGGATATTTAAGTTCAAGGTCCCCTGATTCATTAGTTGCCAAAGTGCGTGCTCTAATGAGCTTATGCACATAAATGTGCATTAAAAAACATATTTACAAGGAGCAGTAATGAGACACACAGCTTCCTATGCACTGCGCATTATTTACTCCTGCTCAAGGATACTTCTATGTGAGGAGATAATTTATTTATTTTCATTGCTAGACAATAATATTTGCCAATATAATTTCATTGACGGAAGCTTTATTGTATAAATTAGTATTAAAAAGGAAAGTAAACAGTTTAAAATCACAAGTTTATGTGTGGGAAGATACAATATTGATTAATTTAACATTATTTCTAATTGAAGAATAATTAACTGCATTAATACTTGCCTGCTTTATGTGAATAGCTCGTGCGGCTCCATTGCGCAGTGGGTCGAATATGCTGAATTTCAGTTTTGGATTCATGACTTCAGACAAACGTAAGTCAAGTGTAGCATTCATGTCATCCCAAACTTTTTCGAACAATTTAATTAACTTCTCTTCTTGTTTCAATTGCTCAAGTAGAAGTAGGTATAAATCTAATGGTGGGGCATCCGGGTCTTCGGGATTTGCCTAATCATTGTGATAAATCAATATTGAAGCTAAGTTATCAAATGTTAATAGGCATTGTAGTACCTTGTAAAATTTGGTTAGACTCGGATCAAATTTTAGTTCTTCGCCATAGTTTGGTTTCATTGGTTTTATAAACTCTCTCGTAGACGCTGTTAATGCTCCAGGCGCATAGTGAAATTTCAGGACTACTTTGCGTTGGTTAAATATATATGTGCGCTGACTTATATCCTGATAGTGAGGTATATCATGATTTCGACTAAATTTCTCGGTTATTTTCTATGTGAGAAAATTTTAAATTTGGTTAAAATGAATTATAACTTTTTTACATTTTTTAAGTAATATTAATTTAAAATCATTTGACAATGACAAGTATTTTAATATTAGTGTTTTTACCTTTAACACTTGAACATGTGGTTTAAAATCAAACTCATGTGCAATGCAACGATCAATGCGCTTACCATATGTAAGTAGTAAGCAGTTCGATCGCACTTCTAAATATTTCAATGAATCCAAACGTGATTCAGAGTAAAAGTATAAACGCTTATCTTCATCCACGTCAAGTTTATGTTCCATATCTAAAATTAGTTAACATTTTAAAAATTTGTATGTATTCAAGATTCCAATCAAGCATTACAATGTAGATTATCGTTACGTCCCTTCCCAAATACTTCAAGTATAATCGACGTATCATGGTCATACTTTATTTTTTCCAATTTATCACTACGATTTTTATAATATTCGTACCGCATTACTGGTTTCCTATAATCACTAGTACCATAAATCAAAATTTGTTCAATTTTACCATCACGCTGTGAATACGGTGAAAAATTTTCATGCACCACTTTGTGATAGCGTACTGTTTTCTGTAAATCTGGATATCTCTGTTCAAAATCTGCTTCACCAATATGAAGTCTCATAACCCAGGATTGGTCTATATCTAAGTGCTTATCTACCAAAATTGGTACATCAGTTACATTTTCATCAGACTTTACATTCAATTTGACAAGCTCCCGTGGCTCGCCTAGTAGTAAATGCTCCCAATCGTCCATATTATTGAAGTCCCAGCGTATCTCACGAACACGTTTATAATCCTGTTTATTGACATAATAATTTTTGTTGTCCCAAACACTGTCAATTAATATGTAATCACTACTTTGCTCAAATATGTAACCACTAGCTGGTTCGATGAAAATTGGTTTTGGTTGTGCCTCCACAGTGTCACCAAATTCGTTCTCCACCATGATTATTGGTTTTCGAGTCCATGGAGCATTTTGTACAATGACGACCCAAGCATGTGAACGTCTATAGTGAAACCTATCTATAGGTATAAGTTCATGAAGCTGAAATATGAATAAAAATTTTTATTACTACTGACTAGTTAAATTATTAAACTTAAAAATAATAATGAAACACTTAAATTGTTTTTTAATAAAAATTCAAGAGTTTGAGTTCTTTTCATTGAAATATTTTCTAATGCTAATTTTGTAACAGCGATTTTTATAGATCGTTTTTTTTTATTTAAATCTAAATGTCACTTGATCAAAGTAACATTATTCTTAATTGAATAGTTCAAAATTTTGATAGACCTTTTCTATAAATATCGATAAAAAGTAAAGTAAATAAACTTACCTCTTGAACCCTTTTTCTTGCTTCCGCTTCACGTGCCTTATCTTCTTCAGCTTTTATCTTATCATTCTCTAACATAATTTCTTCCAAATGGCTGTGAATATCGGGTATAGGACGAAGTTTGTACTTCACGCATTTCACATTTTTTGATTCGACTTCTTCTTCTATTTCGAAGTCCTCAATAGGAAATGGATATGGCAGGGCCGTAGTATCATTCATAATTGTTCTATGTTTAGCAACTCCTGAAACAACCATAGCTGGAAATCGAGCTCCTATTAACATGCTACAAAGAAGAGTGGCCATTTCGAAGCTAGTGCCACGGCGTCGTCTTAGTAGAGTCGCAGGCGATATTAAAGTTGTGGGCTGAAATGAAATAGTTTGTTTCATTAATAAAGCACTGCGCAAAGAATTGTTTAAGAAGAAACGTTTCTTTTTACTTGCAAACAATGTGAGCCCCATTTTTACTAAGGAAACCCATCGCGCCACACATTGCAAATTGAGGTTGATGAGCGAAACAAAGAATTTAGAAAAATGTCGCACTGTTTGGCCCCCACATCAAGAAACACATTGCACAGTGTAGTTGACAGAATGTCTCCTATGTGCTGTAATGGCAGTTGTGGTAGTAGATACAACGCGGTATTATTCACGTCCGATGGTGCAGCATTTTTAAGCATAAAAAGAAAATCAATAAATCATTTGAAAAGTGGCATTTTGCCGTAGGCAACGTATCCATTTTATCATCATCCAAAGAATGATTTCTGAAGTACAGGCAGGCGCATGCAATGCAGCTATACATGAAAAAACTCATAGAATACTGCAGGAGATACTGCACATACCTCTGTCCATAAATATAGTATATATAAAAGTATTTGTAAGTATGTCTCAACATAGTTTTTATTCATTCATTCTTCAATTTTCGTGTTCATTGGGAACATGAAAAACAATCATCAGAACCAACACGAAAGAGTTTAAGACAAAAGAAATTTTCATTTTTACAAGAAAAAATAAGAATAATAATAAATAAAAAATATTGAAATGGGCAGAAATGAAAAAATGCCAAAGTTATGTTTTTTTTTCCACTCTGAAGTGCGCATATCTAGGATACACTATCTGTTAGATACAAATAGAAATAGTTGTGCAGACGTTCAGATACAAAAGGGCCATGTAAAAAAATTACTAAAATTCTAAAACAAAACAGGCGGACTGGCCTATGTTGTTTTTGGCTTTTATCGCAATTTCTTCTCTAATTTTTATTTGTTCTGCATTTTTATGTTAAAAAATCTTTGTCCTTGTGAACATCAAAGCAATTCCTTTGAACCTTTGTCCAGATTCATTTACTCATACTTTCCGAGGTTGGGCTATTTACTTTTAAAAATGCAAATTGCTTTTCTGAAGGATGATAGGCTCCCGCAAAGTAATCTCTTCTTATAAAATTGAAATTTCTGCAATTATTTTACTTTGCAACAAGTTAAATATACCAAACTATGTATAGAAAGTAATATTTTCTAAAAATATTAATTTAATAGTCCATCAATCAGTTAATTAAAATATAAAAAGCAATTAATTATCTTATCAGTTCAAATTCAATATTTTCCAAGCTGTTTGTTTCATAAAAATTGTTTAAATTATTAGTCTTGAAATGGGAGTTAGTCCAGAGCTATATATAATTCTTATACATATCTCTGGATTGTTAGGCACAAACAGTTCAATGCTAACTGATATTATTTTTATAGAACTGTAACATTCCAATGGGATCCCCATTTGTCGAAATACATGATTGTAATATCCAAAAGAACTATTCCGAACAATGTGATTAACATCCAAAATGGGCCTTATGCGGTCCGCGACATATTTCTAATCTACTAAAATTTGGCAAATTTTTCTTTGTTGTAATTTATTAACATCACATTATTTTATTTTTATGATATCCCAAATAAATGAACTAAAATGTTTTTAATAATTTATTACGCTTCATGTTAATTTAATAGAATAGAAAAGAAGTAAATTTATCATTATCTCTGTATTTTTAGTTTTCTCCGAAAAAATAATGAACGTATGTATTTATTTCTGTGGCCCCCAACCTATTCAGCGATTTGTATTGGCCCGCGATCATATCTGGTCTGAACAGTCCAGTTTTATGCATTTTGATAGTTCATTTATGTCAGAAATAAAAATGATGTTGATTTGTTTAGTGTAAATAGATCATATTAATTGTAGGACGTATTTCTAATTTCTATTATCAATAAAAATAGGATTCAAAATGCTATCTTCGAATATAGCGTTGAAGAAAGATTTATCTATATATTTTTTTGCTAAGTAAGAAAAAACATCCCATAATTTTATTTGAATTTTATTGGACTAAAAAGTTGTGAAAACCTCAACCAATGTGTCTGATATTATTTAGCAGTAAGTTCAGCTAAGTTTAGATGGGAATAGTGTAATAGAACTTCTAAAAAATACCTTGGTGTAAAATTGTGCCTTTCAGTAATTATATTAATATTGGTTAGATTATGTTTATGAGTCTGGTTATGGTTCCATTCGAATCAGATTTCTTTCCTTCTAGTGATTTAGTGTTCTATGTAAAGGAGGAATCTGCAATAAATGTAGACCTGATTTAAGAAATACTCCTCTTTTATTTATAATTCTATGTAAAGAAGGTACCTGCAATATGTGCATTTCCGATTGTAGAAGAACTGTTATCAAATTAACTAAAATAATTTTTTACAAATCGTATCTGGCAGTTTTATAACTCGAAAAAAGATTTTCCAAGATACTTTATGTTATATATTATATGTTATATATTATGTTATGTTATATTTGTATAAACTTAATAATTCTTACTTTAGATTTTACAAGATTTTAATTGAAATGGAACAATCTCGTCAATCACAATAATTTCAATATTATTCGATTTTTATGAAACGAAAATATAAATTCAACATACGCCGGAAAGATGGCCTTAAATTTTAGGATACTGATATGGATTTATAACTAGTAAAAGTTTGAGTTTGCCATTAGCACCTCCTACTTTCCGATTACACTGTTTCAATCAAATTGATAAAAAAAATAATAAAAAGTACAATGATAATATTTTATTGAAGATGGTGGGCTTCACTTTTAATTTTACTCGTGAAATTATTCGCAAAATACGACTGATATACTCTTAAGAAACAAATGTACTACATTTCAAAATATTCAGGATATCTTATAAATATCAATAATCAACTAAAATAATTTACATTATTCAAACTGCAAACAAGTTGAATGAAAATTTTCGATCGGCGGATTTCAGATTCTTTAGGATTTTGGTATAAGTTTAGGGAAATTCTATTTTCTAAAATGGATGCCAAAACAGATTAAAACGGGAAAAGGTTAGATTTATTAACGCAAAAGAAAAGTACAAAATTTAGAAAATGTCTCGGGATATAATATATAATATTTAATCTCTTAACACTGTAGGTGTTTGTTCAGGTCTGCGTTGTCAAAAATGATCTCCGATTATATGGGCTCAGTGTATGAAAATCGAATAACTATAGTCAAAGTAAAAGTCTGGATGAAACTAAAGAAAAGGCGGTGATTTGGGCGAGTCTGATTTGATAACAGGTACAGACTACTTGACATATTCATAACCTTCATCCAACTAGAAAAAGTTACGAGTCAACAGCAAAAGTGGCAGGTACCATTTACATAGATGATTCAAAGATAAAAAAAAAGTAGTAGATATAGTCTCACAATTTTTTTAGTACTTGTAGTCTTTATTAGGATGAGATATATGACATTAAAAATGCTGCCAATATTATGCTTTTGTTTTAATGTAGAGTCACATCTGACCAATGAATGTTAAGCACCATGAGTATTCTTATTGGAGGACCATCGAGGGAACTGTGCTATTGTGCAAACATATTATGATGTATAGAAATTGCGATGATGAGAAAGAATTCGAGTCTGTGAACCATTTCAATGTTTCTGTGGGAAACTGCAGGCAGAGTGGGTATAATGTCAAGGGAATGATAGTTTTATTGGCCTGGTAGTGATAATAAAGTTAGATTCATCGGATCATCGGATTCTAACTTCATCTGGAAGATTAATACAAGCAGATATGTTGAAAACAATGGCATCATAATGTACAAGACTCATTTTCGAGTTCAAGTCTTGCTGTTCGTATCACTAAGCACCTTTTCAACATAACTTAACTTAACCCTATGTTTAACATTATAAATACCGATCTACTTTGATATTGAAAATGCATCCAGGACTAATTTTCTAGAAAATATTACTTGTTATTGGGTATTTTCATTGTGTATTGTGTATATATATAAAAATCATAACATTGACAAGCATAACTGTGGTACTTTTCTTCCTTAGTCAGTTTGGTCCTTGGTAAGATTATCTAGTTTGTTCTCAGCAAACCTTTACTAATTATAAGCGTCAAAAATAAATTTAGACTTTCCGACTTTAATTTAATTATTCATAATTCGAAAAGCTGAGTTTAATGAAATAGTATTCAATTAATAAATGTTTAATTGAACTTTATTTACTGAAGCTTACAAGTACGTAAAGATCTTTTTAGGTGCTTAGTAAATAAGCATAAATTTCATCTACATAGTTGCTTGTAAATTTTATGTGGCATTGTGTTTGTACAAAGCTACGTTAATAAATCAAACTCCTATTTTTATTTTATTATATATACATACAAGTAGTTGAAAGGTATTCAAATTGATTAATGTACACAGGTTAGAGGCATCTATCTTACATGCATATGATAGTCAAATGTGTCTACACGCACTTTGTGTACATATCTAAATGTGTGTAAGTAGATATAATCGTATATACGCATATTTCTAAGTACGTATACCTGTGTGTTTTCAGTTTTTTTAACAATTTACATATCTTTGAGCTTGCATAAGTAGGATTTCTTGCCGAAAGTTAGCTACACACAGAAAGGCGTACAAATTTATTTTAAATTGAATTCAAAATATGGTCGAATACTTTCCATCGTTTTTGGTAACATGCTTAGCTGTCTTAACAGTTGGTCATAGCCAATAGTAACTGCAGCCCAGCATAGCGCTGACCGAAGATGCAGCAATTACCTGCAAAATATGGAATGTCCCAAGAACTTCATCACCTTTATCTTGCTCCCTTCAATTTTCCTAGTTCGAATGAAATGCTTGACAGAGTCCCTACCCTTTCTCTTATACTTTTCTCTTGCATGTACATTGTTTATTCGACTTGTATGTTGTATTCTGAAGTTCTCTAAAAGTATAAAACCTCATAAGAATTTTTGAAAGTTCGGAATAAGGCAAACAGGTACGCATTTCATTTTCTCCTTAGTTGCATTCTTAGTGACTGCACACCTGGAAAAC